GCGGACGATATCTGCAAGTGCGTTCGTTGTGTTCTTGGCCCTGCCACGATTGTTCTCCACAACGTGTACGCGCCAATTTCATATTTCAAGGGGTGTTTAGATCGAAAACTATTGTTAGGCTGCTACTTCTACGATCAGGCAAAGACGGCAGACAGCCTGCCCCGTATCCGGATGTTCTGTCCACTACCCGACTGATAAACGTCGTCAACATGCACCTTTTCGTCACACTAGCTAACCCTCCCGTCGCGGCGAGGAAGGGCAGTCGAATCCCTTTGGAAAGCTCCACTGTGGAACGACTGCCGATGTCTAGCCAAGACCTCACTCAGCCGGGTGCCCCTCGAGACGGTGGTCGTGTGCAAACGTCCCCCGTGCGACGTGACGCGGTAGTGACATCGGAAGTGACCGAACCAATGCGTCATGAGGCTGAGAGTTCCTTCATTGGTGAACACCTCCTGGATCCTACTGTCACTCGCGGAGTCTCAGACGGAGATGGCAGTATCCCAGGGGTGAATCTCGCCGATCTCAGGGTACAACTCCAAGTGCCGCATGAGAACGCGGGGAGGGCCTTAGTCGAAAGACCCTTTGGATCTACCGCTACAGCATGTCTGGCCCCGACCAGTCTTGTCAACAATGAGGCTGGTCACACGACTACCAACCGTGCACCCGTCTGTGATGAGCCTCCCAGAACGGGGGATGAATCAACTCCAACTCAAGAAAACGCAGATCCAGCATCAGGAGTGGTTGGAGCTGAGGAGTCAGCTTTCGATCGAGACTCGTCGAACAAGTCTCACCACGATCGAGTTGACCATGGGCAGTCCTCTCATGGGAGAGATTCGAATCACTCGTCCAGCAACACGCAAGACCAAACCGTGGACCACAATGACGATGCGAAGTCTAAACATGCCACGTCTGCGGTGGACAAGTCCGGCAAGCACACAAGCAAACCGCAAACGCTTTCTCTTGGCGCGTAGATAACGCTAGTACCGTTCAGAACCCCGACAAACGATCTGGAATACCTCCAATGAACATTCAGCATGGTGAGGTCCGCGACCGGTCGTGAACTCACGGACGACGAACGAACGGCATTGTACCATCGTCTTCTACAGCTCAAGAAGAACGGCCGCGTCAGTTCCGGGGACATTAAGGAGCTCATGCGCACGTTCCATGTCTCGCAACAAACCATATCCCACATTTTGCTCCGAGGATGCCAGACGGCTGCTGAGACGGGATGCGCCAAGGTTGCGTCAAGGAAGAAAGGTCGCTGTGTAAGTACGATGGTGACAGCGTACGAGACGTCGTCACAAGTGTGCCGTCGTACCGACGATCAAACTTCCGTTCATTGGCTGCTGCAACCGGGGGATACCCAAGACTTCGCTGTGGAATCTCATGCAGGCCAACAAGCTTCGCCGCCGTACGAGCCGTGTGAAGCCCATGTTGTCCGTCAAGCAAAACTCCGATCGCTTCAAATTCGTTAAGAAGTTCGTGCAGGCGGGTCATGGTTGGTCTTGGACTATGTGCACCTCGATGAGAAGTGGTTCTACATCACTCAATTCAATCGCCGCTACTACCTCTGGCATGATGAACCCATTCCCCAACGGAAGGTCCAATCCAAGCGCCACATCACCTTCGTGATGTGGCGCTTGTTTGAAAGTCTCTGGGTAACCCCCAATGTGAGCAGCACATCATGCAGTACCTGGTCGTAATTTTTGGATTTTGAATAGAAATACATTACACATATGGTTTTGGCCGAATCCTTCATACAAATACCAGAACATTTTACGTCGAAGTACCCACGAAAAAAGTTCACACAGGTATTCCTGAACGGAGGAAGTACTTTGATTGGGCAATGCAGAAATACATGGATTTTATTGGTTCAAATATTACTCCTGAATTTCTGGCATCTGAAAGCCTTGGCGCTGAAGCTCCGCGTAAGCATCATGAAGAAGTGACACAGGGCAGGTAAGGTTCTCCATCAGAGTTCCAGCACGCCTCAGTGCTTGTTTTCCAAGGTGGGGCAGCTTAAAGTTGTTGTCACCTTGGTGCTGAATCACAACAAGCATAACGGCCTGGAGGGTGAGGAAGACGTCTACAAGCTTGTCTGAGCTCTGAGTTTCAAAGGCAAGCAAAGAAGCCTTAATCACGTCATCCAGATCAACTCACCATCTTGTACTGTAGGCTTTAAATCGACGCGAAGAACCCAGGATCAAGGACGTTTAAGTCGGGAGACTGTTTGGAGGCTGCCAGGACACAGCAAACGTCCATCCATCGGTTGAGGCAAGGCGAAGAAGCAATGCGTTCAGAATACGATGGGGTTTAGCGTTATCGTGCTGAAGGATGACGCGCTTATTGGCCTTAGGAAACTTCGCCTTGATCGCAGAAATGACCTTGTTCATGACGAAGATAGTACGTCTCCGATGTCACAGCCACCAACTGAGTAACCATTGTTTCAGCGCGACGGTTGCGTGAGTTTCGCGCTGCGGGTACTTGCTCCACGAAGAGTCATATCCCGATTTTTCCGTCGAAGTCAGAGTCGCGCTCAATATCCCATCGAGGACATGCAACGGCGGAAGGAACATGACTTTTGGGAGAAATTGTTTGGACTTGCAACTGCGACGCCGAGGTATTTCGCGTTTGGTGAGGTAAACCTTGCGACTGTCCTTATCTGCATTGAACCATTTTTCATCTAGGTGCACGACGTCCCACATATTGGTAAACTCAAAGTCATCGAGTTCGCCGGCTTGTCCCGTGGCCTGAGCGAGCAGGGACGGCGCATAACGCTGGACATGCGAGCTACAGAACCAAATGCGTTGCAGCTTATTGGCATCTGTCAACAGTGGTTTTAAGCGTGAGGACTTGCGTTGGAGTCTTCCAGACTTCAAGCTTCGCGGCGAAGTTCCCATTGAAAGCCCGCTTGCTTCTGACATGTCCCGAATCGTGGTACGCTGTGCCTGAGGTACTTCCTCTATAGTTGCGGTAACCTCTTCTTGAGTGTAGACGCGTCCAGGTTTCCGCGATTTCACATTGCCGGTGGTCGTGAAAGCTTTCCATACTTTGGATACTGTAACTCTGTTCACGTTGAAATGTGAAGCTGCATAGCCGAAGGCGCCACGAGCCAACTTGCCATTGACCAAGTTGTCCTGGAGGTACCGCACCACGGCTATTTTCTCGGTCTCGCTAAGCTCGTGGCCAGTGCGGATCACTGCTGTTTCCATTGCAAGTCGAAAATGGACATTTTTTAAGATTAAAAAAAAAGTTTCGTTGCCCCTTAATCATTGGCCATTTTGACCGCTTGCGCTCACCGGACACTACCCCCAATTTTCAATTTTCTTTCTAACTGGATTCACCCCATCAAATTAGTATCACCGCACAGAGGAAGTATTATATTTACAATCACCTCATTTTAGACGAATGGCACACGCTGAATGCACCGGATTTCGAAGCTGAAATTCTGCACCTGCAGGTAATTATTAATATACGCACTCTGTAGTACTACGTATTTCCTTTTACCCAAGTTTGGACTTTTGTGCTGATTCTTTGCCAAATCTATCGATCGATTCTTTTGACTTTTGTATGTAAGAATCGTACAGTACACCATAAATTGGCCATCTACGTTGTAGCAACGTTATTACGTACAGTTGTAGGCATGACCGATGAGTTTTAGCGCGGGGTGTAGAGTTAGAACACGGACCATCCTTGTCAATACTGTAGTGTTTATTCTAAACTGGAGTGACATCGAGAATGAATCGACAGAACCACATGTACAGAAGAATCGGCAGATCCAGTGTCACACTAATTGAAGTCATACACTAATTCGATGTTGATTTGGAAATTTCATTGGCTACTTGACGAGAGTTCTGGGTTTTGATTGGTCGGTCGTATATCGATTGTGTGTCGATTTGGTTATTCTGCTCATTCGATTGAGCACCACACTCCAATTGCGAATCTACAATAGTAGCAGGGTAGGTAGTATATGATTTCGTAGTACTACTATACTACGAAATGTCCTCGCTAACGTTTTGGTGTAGGAGAGTTGGCGATACAAGCGAAACGATAGCATCGATATATATATATAATATCGATGGTCTGCATTAAGGATATTACAATTGCGGAGTCCTCGTAAGATTCTTGTTCTTTTCTTGAATGAACCGCGACATGTACTCTGTCGCACGGAACTGACTCGACTCGAGCACCCGCCCGACCCAGTTGTCGACATCCGTGGGACTACCCACAACGTCCAGCAGCGTCCTCCTTTGACTGTCCAAGTCGTAGTGCGTTCGACAGAGGACCTTCCCCCCTTCGTACGCGGCCGTCCACTCGTCCGCATTGCCGTACAAAGCGGCCACGCGGTCGGCAAACTCGGCCGGCGAGTCAGCCACCGCGCCGCCCCATGGCTGGTTGGGGTGGTAGTGCATACCTTCGGCCCCCACCGACGTCGACACGACGGGGGTTCCCGCGGCCCAGCTGTCGATGATCTTGCCCTTGATGCCCGCACCAAAGCGCAGCGGGGCCAGACTCACTCGGTACGAAGCCAGTGTTTCGTGCACGTCGTCGCAGAACCCCATCACATGCACGTTCATATGTGGGTTGTGCAGGCTCTTGATGGCCTTGGCGGACGCGTACGATCCGTACATGTGCAGTTCCGTATGTGGCGGGAGCGACTGGCGCATCGTGGGCCACAAGGTGTCCTTGAGCCAATGCAGTCCGTCCACGTTTGGAGCATGCTTGAAGCTGCCAACCACCGCCACATGCCGACGATCCTTGAAATTCTATCGCCACACAGACACACAATATATATGACACAAGGTATGCGCGATGGTGTGGTGGATACAGTATTACCAGTGGGAACTGGTTCAACTTGTCATCTGGGACGATGTAGTCCAGCTTGCGCAAGCGACGAGGTGGCACGTCGAATCGGGTGGTGAGCATGGTCTTTTCAAACTCGGACACATATAGAGTCACGTGCGACCGGTACACACTCGCGAGTTCCCGCAGCACCACCGACGCCACGGGCTCGACATCAATCGACGGCTGCAGCGTCGTTCGATAGTCTTTCTATAGTACATGATATATTGTCAAATCGATTTCCGAAATTCGAGCCCTCAGCAGAAGATCGAATTTCTCAACGAGAATGGATTCAAGAATCGCCAAAACAACCAATAAAAAATCACATCGTGTCGAATTTCTGCCAATCCAAACGTTTAATTCGGTCCAGTCGTTCCGCATTGGACAAAACCATATACTAGTATATACTAATATTTGTATAGTATATTTTGTACAAGCTTATATGGGATCAAATGAATTATTTGGCAAAATGATCCACAAGTCCAAATATTTGGGCGCAATGGATAATATATATAGAGGACAGATTTGTCTACGCATTTAATAGAGAATAGGTTGTTGATACTCTAGTACCTTGTCCGTGCACACGTGAAATTCGCGTGCTTTGCGTAGAAAGTGCACGTCCTGCAAATCCAACACGCGCAGCGCGTGAGGGGCCAACTTGGTGACTTGCCAGCCATACATTTCTTCGGCAATATACCGATCAAAGAGGGCGACATGGACTGGAGTCTCGCGGGAACACATGAACGCTTCAAGCGCCTCCTCTTTGTTGGGATCCACTTGCTCGCAGTGCACCCCCGTCGCAGCTAACGCTCTCGTGTGGGCATTGAGTCGGCTCGGGGAAATGCACACGACGTCCCATCCTTCGTCCAGGAGGATGTCAATCATGTCGCATGTCCGGACGCCGGCCGCGGACGACGTTCGCTCCGGCCACACACTTCCCGCGATCAAAATGGCCTTCCCGTTCTTCTTGCGTAACGGTATCACAGGGTTTACGGGTTTGTCGAGAATGATTGTGGGTTTCTTTGGCATTTCCAACGGCTGGTACCATGTCGGGTCCATGTTGGCGGCGAGACGCGCCTCCAAGTCGAACGGTCCTGGCAGTCCCTCCGGAAAGGTACCCTTGACCAACTCGTGAAAGTACCCCACGGGATCCCGCTTTGTAGATGCACACAAGTGCTTGAACCACTTGATCCCGCACGACACATGCCCTCGCTCTTCAAACACGATTTGGGCTACAATACCCCAGCAAACACTACTATTACTATCCACCGATACTACGAAAGAGTAGACGTACCGACAATGTCGGCAGACTCACGATCACCCAGCGACTTCAACTTGTGCACCAGACGGGGCCCCGCGTCCAGCCCGCGGGCTTCCTGCACTAGCGGAATCACGGCCAGACGCGCCGCGAGGCAGTTCTGCGTATTGTGGGCATGCGCGAGGAGGGCTTGGTGGGCTGGGAGCTGGCCGTAGAACGACCCGAGCTCGTGCAGGCGTCCAGTGACCAGCTCGAAATGCCGCGCTTCGTCGCAGGCAACGTTGAGGAAATCGTCGTAAAACGCGCGTGGGAGTTCACATAAGCCGTCGCTTTGAGATGGCCCGAAGCGAACGATCGTGTCCCAGTAGTTGTCTGCAGTGTACACATGTCAATGCATCACTCCGTGAGTACAAGAACAACAAACCCATCGCGCCGAGCTCGATATGCGCAAGTGCGTGCAGGATCGCGACGGGAATGGGAAACCCTTTTTCGCTGGGCATGTCCTTGGGGTCGTAAAGCAGTGGCTGTGGTGGTCGCGACGGAAAGTCTGGCGGGTTGGGCGACCAAGTTGAAGTGTGAATTCTACCAACCAGAAGCGTGTTCATGCGTTTGTTTGGAGATAATGCGATGCAGTGACACGAACGTACAAGGGTAGTTTGCCGGTTTGCCACAAGGCTTGCACATTGAGGCTTTGCAATACTTTGTTGGTTGGTGAGCTCTATCAACAAATGGAGCGGCTGCATTATGGCCTCGCGGCGTACCTCGCGCAGAATTCGTTCGCCTCCCTGGACAAGAGACATCGGTATGCTAGCTTGATGGCCTTCACTGAAGCTTCTTTGACCGCTGCATGCCCATTGAATGCATCGTTCACGCTTGATGGCTTGGAAACCTGGCCGTCGCGCACGATGTAGCATCGATTGATCGATCGATCGTTGGTGTGAGTGACTCGCTCAAGATTGCTACCATATTTTGAGCGAAATTTGTTTTCGACACAGTTCTCCAAGGAATTTCGACCAAGATAGAAAGCTCAACGAGCAGCCGCACTTCCATCTCGCGTAGGGCAGTCCAAGCGATTCTTGCTCTCATATACTAGCATGGGGTCTACTTTGCTAGTGCCATTGATTCTTGCTCAAGGTCTTAGCCAACAAGAGATTGCATTATTGAACGATGTATGTCAGTCAAATATCTCACCTGAAGAAATCCATCGAAGTCACCTGTGAATTTTAGCCAATGAAATAGTAGTTCTCTCACGCAGCCACAGCCCTTTACATAACCACATCGACAACAACATGGGAGTGACCAAGGAAATCCTAACTGAAGGCAACGGGCAGAAGCCTGCCAAGGGCGCCCAAGTCACTGTCCATTGCACAGGATACGGCAAGGACCGCGACCTGAGCAAGAAGTTCTGGAGCACCAAGGACGCTGGCCAGCAGCCGTTTGCGTTCCAAGTGGGCTTGGGCCAAGTGATCAAGGGCTGGGACGAAGGCGTGTTGTCCATGAGTTTGGGCGAGTCGGCCAAGCTCACGTGCTCTCCTGACTACGCTTACGGCGCCCGTGGTTTCCCTGCGTGGGGTATCCAGCCAGACTCTGTGCTCATCTTTGAAATCGAAGTGCTCAAGATCGAGTAAACGTCATGCATGGCCATCGAAGGCTATATTCCATCGTGTATAATATATGCTTCGTGACTTCTTCAGTCGTACAGTGCGTCTACAATCTTGCGGGCCAAGTCTGGTCGATACTTGGACAGTTTTTCGCGAAGTTGTTCAATATCGTTTTTCAGGCGGCGCAGGGACACCCCGCACTTGCTCGGTCGAGTGTCGACGTGCACCGTTTCATACTTGCACAGCTGGGTGGTGAGCTTCGTCTGCGACATCGTTGCATTGAGTAGTCGTTTCAGTGGGGAATACCATTCAACGTACGTACCTTGATGTCGTCGAGTTGTTTGGCGTGAAACCCGAGCCATTGCAATGTCAACATGCTGGCCTGTTGGTTGCATGGGGATTCTCAGAGGAGCATATTTATTCTTGCCGTCTGGAGTACCTTTGTCAGGGTGGTGGAGCGCCCCAAAATGGTGATGGTGGCGCCCACGTACAAGTCCCACGCCTCCAATGGCCGCTCGTGGCGTCCGTTGATGTGGGAGATTGTGTACACGTTATCAAGGTTGCCCAGCACAAACTAACAGAATACTCATCACCAAGATCTCACCATTTTATCACGAGTGTGTTCTACTGTGTATACCTACCTACCTCCTACCTGAAAGTGCTTGGTGCTGATGGAGAAGTAAATGTCAGCGTGTCGCTTCTCCGTGACACTCAACCGCGTTTCGTTCCACGACGAATGAAAGCACAAAATGTCTAGTGTTTCCAGCCTATACAAGCATGAAACACAAACATCACAACATCGCCACCCCTTGGTTGGTGCTGTAGGTTTACGTACGACTTGGTCTTGGGCTGTCGATGCAGATCCACGGCCTTGGCGAACACGTCCTTGGACACATCGTCGTGGCGGCGATGGCGTTGGCTGCAAAAGACTTCGCCCGAGGCTGGCACGTCCCCTTGCTCTTCGTTCGTGGCAAAGTTATAGTAGTACTTGACATTGTTCCGCCGAAACTCCATCCACGCAGCCTGGTCGTGCCCGGGGGGTACTGTAGTCTCGGCATGTGCTTCCATGGCCTTTCGGATTTGACTCGTAAAGTACGCGTCGGCGGGGTGACTAGATTGAACCTCGTTCGTTTGCTCGTTCAGGTACATCGTTGGCGCAGCATTGTTGGTCACTTCCTCCACCCAGTTGGGCGGCAAGGGCGTCTCTACGGCTTGCTTGATGATCGGCAGTAGAAACGGGGATGCCGCCAAGTCCACGTTGTAGTACTGCGCCATGTTGAGCATGTCGTTAGGTTGCAACTCCCTCAATGCCTGACCTTTGCTCATCCCGCCGCCACGGACACACAACAAATGGGAATAGTATGTGCTATTTTGGGCGCATTCGTATAACTAACGGCGATTCCTCTTCGTGTTTTGTAGCCAAAAGTCAACCAAGGGGCGCCAATGCATGTAACAACATTGCAAGACATCGACGATCTCCCAACGGCAGCATCGACATGACACGCATAACGTTACGGCTGTTCATAATAACTTAACTGGTGGCTTTGATATCACAGGAATGGAAACAGGGGGGACTCTTCCATGGGCGCCTTGGATGGAGCGGATGGGCGAAGGAATGGCGTCGTGTGTTGATTGCTTGGGGGCACATTGGTGAACGATCCAGCGTGGCCGAGTGAAGGAGCTGCAGAACTGGGTTGACAAAGGGGGTCCAAGCACTGGAACACGTCCAACGAGTTGTTCTCCTTCGTGGTGTAGACGTTGCCAAGACCGTTGGTGGTGGTGGTGATCGATTGGGAAATGTGAAGGTACTGGTGGGGCGCCGTCAAGTGGCTTTGAATCGACCCAGACGAATTTGGCTGCTTATACGTGGCAGCGCCAGGGAACAACGTCGTAGTTTTCGTAGTGTTGACGTGGGTATTCCAATTCGACGCGGCTCCCGTCATCACTGGGGGGTTGGCGGTTGTGTGGTACATTGGTCGAAAGCTGTTGTATTGCTGAATGACGCCTCCGCCGGCAAAAGTTGGCGGCGGCGGCGGCGGGGGGGTGGCTGCCGTTGAATGCATGGCGGTCTGGTTGGCCTCGACGGAGAAGCTGCTCATGAGGTGCAGCGCTTGTGAAATCATCATGTCCTCCAGGGCTTCCGAGCCCGGTGTGAGGAAGCGGGCGGGAGGTTCGTCGTCTGCGGTCAACGGGTCTGACGGCCCGTGGACGACTTGCGCTGTCGAAATGCAAATGGTCGAGTTGTTGTTGTTCGGCTTTGACAGAGATACGTGGGGAAGCGGGCGGCTGGCTTGGATCGACGGAGAAGCGTCACTATCGCATTCGATGTCGGACGACGGCGCAGTGCTTGATGCAACGGAACTGTGTTGGGACGAGAAATGAAACTCTGGACGCATGTCTTGTCGGGGGCTGGTGACAACGTACGCGTTCTTTGGGGACGGACTGCGGCCATGAGAGTCGCCTGGCGCCGACCGTGCATCGAAACGGAAGACTGGGACGGAGGCGGCTGCTTCGTCGTCGTCCTGGCTATTACGTTCAGAGGGATGATGATCCAGCGAACCAGTGGAAGGGGGTTCTTGGAGAGGCCGATTCATCTTTTCAAACTCGCGGAGGATCGAGTCGTTCTGCAGCACCATGTCTTCGAGCAGCCGTTGGTTCTCGGAAGCCTGACCAATGAGTTGACTCAGTAACCCCTCGGACAAAGTGTCCTTGCTGGAAGGGGCATCCCAGTGCCCACTCAACGCGTCGGCGTAATACGTGGGCTCTACTGGATGGAAGAAGCGGGAGTGCCGCGACGGGAATTGCGTTACGGGAGTCCCATCCAGGGCTGTGACCCATTCGTCGTGCTGTGTAGGGCACGTGTCGCGCGTGAAGTGTCGGCTTGAGTGGAAGTGACCACGGTCCAGAGGAACGTTGCTGCGAGGGTCGTACTGAACGGACATGTCAACCATCACGCTCTCGGACGAGTACTTCGCCTGACATCTCGAGTACGACACCACCGTCGACCCGTCAAAGCCGGGCGGGATTCCTTCGTTCCCGCTCAACGCGTAGTTGAACTGAGCCACGTCAAAGTGGGAGTCGCAATCGGACTTCGGGGATGAAGGCAGCAAGTCGATGATCGTGAAGCGCCCTTTTTGCTCCATCTTTCCTTGACGTATTCTCACGTGTTGCGTTCCTTGCTGAGCCCGTGAAGGCACCGACGGATCCAAATGTTCGCCGATGATGCTCGATGCCCCATGACGCCCGACGTTTCTCGGACTGAACAAGACTTCAGGGTCGTCAGGAGCGTCCGTGACGATGAACCGCGTCGGTTTCTTCTTTTCCCCAAACGTGCGGCGCATGACGTCCCCATCTCGCGTCAATGGCGTCGTCGCCTCAGTCGACTCCTCTCGTCGCATGTCAACGAATTACGCAAGAGTACAGTACTTATTCCTACTAATACTAGCAGTCGATACAATTCGTTTGACGATTTATTTAGTAATGGCATGACTACTACTAGTAGTACTATGCCGCCTGAAGTTGCATCCGCACATTGGTATGGCAGGAGTGAAGCGTGTCCGCGTAGAGTTCGTGGACGACGCCGCGGCAGAGATGATGGTGGAATGGGGGTTTTCTAGGGTGGTGGTCCCAATCGACAAGTCTATGAAGCACGTGAGCGACTTATTGCATGGCATCGTCCGGCGCTTCGGGCTGTCGAATGGCGGGTACGACTTGATGTTGGGAGATTATGCCATCTTACCCAGCGACAAGCTTGAGCTCGTCCTTCAGCCTGAAGACAACTTGACGTTCAGAAAAGCGGCGGCGGCGCCATCGAAGTTGGTGACTGCGAAGCGCGAAAAACAGCGCCGTGTCAAGGTTCCGCGAGTAAAGCTGCCCGTCGTATCCGCGAAAGCAAAGGCCAAAACGATCGACGATCATCCAGAGTCAGTTCAGACGAAGCGAGCTGCTGTGGCGCCCAAGGCAAAGGCTGCTTCGAACAAAGAACGCATCGCGACACGTGTCCTTGCCAGCGAACCCATCCCTCCGAAGAATCGTCCGGCCGAGACCACGACTGGACGAGAACGAAAGAAGAAGCGCGCAAGACACGTCGACGTCGTCAGAGCCTCTCCTTCTGAACCAATCGCGCCGACCGCAATTGTACCGCCCAAGGAGACGTCGTTCAAAGCCGCTGAACCTCGACGAGGTCACTTGCGCTTCGATCCCGTCGGCACTGCCAACACCACCACGACATGTACGACTACCCCCGTGGAATTAGCAAGGTCGGTCCCTGTTGTCCGCGGTACAGCAGACCGACGAACCATCCCGCACGATCTTCAAAAGTACGGCCCTCGGCAAAGCACCAAGCGCCAGAACGGTGGGCCGCCACTACCTCCGCCCATTGCCGTGGAGCCAAGTAAACCCTCGCCACCTGAACCGATAAAGAGTGTGCCAGCAATCTCCAACGAAGTTTCTGAGCCACGGCCTCCGAAACTGGTGCTGCATGCTGACTCGTCCAATGAAGTGTGGAAGCGCAAGTACACCGTGATCGCGTCCGTCAATCGAAAACATGACGTGGACCCTACCAACAACGTACGACATCACAATGTTGCTGCTACTACTAGTACTACTACATGTGTACTAGGACATGATCAACATGGAGCGGTTTCCTGAGGGGGACATCTCGACGGTGGGCGAGAATGACGTGATCGTGTTCAAGACGGTGACGTTATGTGAGGTGCACTTTGAGCCCCGCGTGTCCGAGTGGAAGGTCGGGAGGGTGACAGGGCGTTCGACGGACCCCCACGTCGTGTCTGTCCAACTGTGTCGGCACTTCGACGCCGCCAACGAGTACATACTCTGCCCCCCTTGTCTCATATTTGGGCTGACGTTTTGAGTCTAGGGCTACGTGGCTCGACTGCGAATACGACGTGACTGCATTCAATGTGGCAGATTTCTTCCAAGTGCGACAGGTCAAGACAGCCAATCCCAACATTGTCGTCGCCGTTCCCGCTGAAACACCCTCCATGGAGGATCCAAATAGTGTGGATGAGACCCACGACTTGCTCGAGGCGCTGCGTCGCCGAAAGGAAGAGATTCTGATGAGTTCCGCCTCCGCGTAGTCGTCCATGCTAATGTTACTCATTATTGCAAAGTCGTTCAGATCTTATTCGCAAAAAGGTGCACTACCGTTAGTTACTACAACGGTAGTATGTTCACACACTTGTATTGTCCATTTTCATCCAGAGTTTTGGAGTCAATTTGCAAAATATTTTTCAAATCGATTTGACCAATAGCGTTAGAAAAGAGACAAGATATTCAGGTGGTGGTGGAACACTATGGAGAAAGTGGAAATAGTAAAACTTTCGGTGAAGAATTCAAGATGCGGAAATGATATACTTACTACTGTATTCAACTTTCGGAAGTAATTTCCAGAGATTCAGATAACGTAGATGGCCAGTTTATGGTGCACGGGTCAGTTTAAGGTTGGCCAACGGAATTGCATGATTTATGGAATAACAAGCTAATCGAATCACTATGGTGTAAGTCATACAGATTGGCCATCCTCAGGAGGAGACGTTTTACTATTAAACGCCTCGGTTCTTTCAGTTAAACCCACGAAATGTCACGTTAAATCATTATTGGTTACGACGTTTACCTGGTAATTAGGTTAAACGTCCTGAATAGTCCGGATACAATGGAAACGTTCGTACGGATAAGTGCTGCCAAAATATACTTGATGCTCCTTTTCGGCCATGTGCCTGGCTCCATTCCATATATATTTCCGTACAAAAAGGCCGGTTGATTTAAATTCTATTACTCGATCAATTTTTTACCAATCGAAAATCTGAACCGTAACTTCTGTTGGGCTTGTCCAGTTCTATCGTTTTTACGACCATGGCATCCAATACCCTGTTGAACTTGTACAAAAAGAACGCATTTGCAACACATTGCTCGAATAGCCTGCGATGATGCGTTTCGTGTGAAAACTTGTAAGCGAAATCCAATGCAGTACTAAATGTGGACGACAAAATCGTATGTATAGTGTACAGTCTATAATCTCCAATGCATAGTATTTTGTTTATATTCTTCATGGCGTACTCCATTTTATTATTACCTGAGATTACCCACAATTGGTCAAATCGAACAGGCAGTCTGACCAATCACAGCATGATTATGAGAAGCTATTCAACGTCGTTCCCTGTATTGCGATGTCCAAGGTATGTATTACATGGATAGATAGGTTAAGCCACCGGAGGAAGTCACCTTTTTTGCCTAGGACGACGAGCCTATGAATGTCGATTTCGTGAAGGTGTACCGACCCACCGAAGTGAGGCTGATGCCGCCGAGTCAGAACTATTCGAACATATTATCTGTAACGTTATCTTAAAACTTGAGACTCATTGAGATAGCAAGCCTCCTACTAGTATGTCAACGGCTCCCGAGATTCGGAATGTTATGATTTCCAATGTAGTATAGAGGTCGAGGGACGCAAACCGAATTTGTGGGGCAGAAAGTGATTTGATTGGCTAACGTTAGGAGATCCTCAAATCGAAAATCTAACCGTTATTCGATTCTCTAGTAACAAAATAGCGGTAACATAAGAACCAATTTACTGTTAATACACATCTGTGGAAGGTGGTTGGGGAGAACTTTCAAATCTCCACACTTAGGCAATTTTTTCAACCTCCGAAACTTGGAGATTGTAGCTGAGTTAGTGCTGTACTGTACCACCATATACCGAATATATTGTGCTTTGCAGTTGTGTTGCATGAGAAAAACAAGTAAAACCAAACAAATTTGATAGCAATTTAAGAATCAATTTACGACATGTTGTTATCTTGATCAACTCTCATTTACTGTACGAGTACGTGTTTAAGGTATTATGTTCTAGAGGAAACCCAATCCATTTGCATGGGTTATAAATATTGTCAAGTCGATTCGAAACTGGAGCCCTCAGCAGAAATGAATGTCTTACGAGAATGGATTAAAGAACCTCCTAAGCCAATCAAATCATGTTATGGTAAATTACAACCAATCCAAACGATTGACTGGACTCTGTCCCTCCGCATTGGGCAAAACCATATATATACTATTCTTTGTATAGTATAGGGTGTACAAGATTAAATTGGAATTGGATCATATGGATATCGAATGCATTTGACGAAATGACTCAAATTTGGGTGAAATGCACAATACCAAAGGAGTACTTGAAGCTACATTCTCTCCTTTCCGGATATTTCTTCCAATATTTTGGCGCAGTTTGATTGGTTCTTCAACATACCTTCTTTCAGTGAGTAGTCATGTGTGTTAAATTGAATTGTTACGTTAATAAAATATACTAAAACACGGAGGCCGACACGAGGATGGCCTGGAGCAGTTGCGACGCGATCTCTTGGATGAGGATCTGGTTGGTCTCTTGGGCTAATGCGAGGATGGTTGGGTGGATGTTGAACTCGACGAGGAATTGCACGGGCGCTGTGTGCGACTCGAATATGCACTTGAGCATCTTGAGCAGATTTTTCCGTACAAATGGCTTGGGGTAGCTCAGGCGATACAGAATCTCCATCACGAACAAGCTCGATCGACCCAGGGCCTACGAATATATATTTTTTCACACTAAGATATAGTAGGTACACACTGAGATATATATATCGTTTCTGGCATACAATGTTGAGTACATTACCTGGTTCATTCGCATGGACCGCGACAGAATTTCCAACAGCGACTCGAGCAAGTTTTCAAACTGATGTTCCGCCGTTCGAAAGCACAAGACGATTTGTTGAATGTGCTCCGGGGCTAGCAACACGTTTTCGATTTTTACCTAGAATAAAAATACTGTGACTTTCAAAGTTGCCAATTTTAAGGTATTCTTGAAATCGCCAACAAAATTGACCAAAGTAGTATGATTGGCTAAAATACAAGAAGGGTGCATACTGATTAGGCTAAAACGAATGAGTTTTAACATGCAAAATTCACAGATATACCTCTTAAACTTAGTTTTATACCATATTTCGAAGGTCCGGCGATTGTTGGAAGAAATTTTGAGTAGAAACACACAAATATTTATATAAAAAAGTAGGACTATGGATATACTACCGTGTCATGGACCAGCCAGGCAGCGATGGCCTTCATGGCGTCGATTTGCCAGAATTTGTCGCTCAGCAGCGTCAAGAAAAACGTTACGCCGTCGCATGCCCTACGAATGCCGTGAAATATACTCTATCACATAACCAGCCAAGGCCCACCACAAGTGCTCCCGTGCAGTGGCCGACGCCGAAGCCAAGTCGCACATGATGGGCAGCACAAACTGCTTGAGGGGGCTCCTGGTTTGGGTCACGCGTTGCAAGTACGGAATTAGCCCGGCTTGGGCAGCCTACCGAGTAGTAGTCTTAGGGTTTGCACTGAGATGCAGCATTTGCTGTGTACATGTGTTTGGCGGTTTCGGTTGATCCGGCACAGGTAAAACATGGCATGCAGCACAATGTTTTGAATGTCCTATGAGGAATAAGATACAAGGTGTCTGTAAACCCAAGCAAATGTCGAACCTTGATTTGAGGCGACGATTCATCCGTGAGCACTTGCACCAACGTCGGGATGGTGCCGGCCCGATCCAAATTCTCCAGCGTATTCGGCTCCATACTCATGTTTCGAATGCACTTGAGGATCTTGACCATCGCCATCGAGTAAGCGTCGTGCTTGGCGATGGCAGTTCCTGGGTTTAACGAGTACAGCAGCCCTACAACGACATAGTCGTACTAGTATTGTTGTGTGTATTCAAAACTGGAGCCACGTGCCGAATCTATCGATCGACACAACCAAATGGGCAGAAGAATCGGCGTTTAGCCAATCAGATTGCAGGAAATCATCGGTTCAACCAATCCTACTACTACCCGACTAATCAGTGTGTGACTTCAATTAGAGTGATGGTTTTCACCGCCGGAGTTTTTACACGTTTTCACACGCAAAATTCAGTGCAAAAAATCGATCGATGGATTGGACAAATCAGCATAAAGGTCCAAATATGGCTGAAAGGACAAAAATACGTCGTCGTATTGTATTGTGTTTATTCGAAACATGAGCGACATGGAGAATAATCAACCAATCAAATGAACCGAAGAATCATGAGCCAATCCGATTGCAGGAAACCATCAACATTCGTGTGTCACTTCTATTGTACAAAGTATCGATCGATCGATTCGGCCAAGCAGCACACAAGGCCAAACAAATATTTGGGGTAAAAGAGGAAAATACCTTCGAGCACCACCAAGTCACACATGTGCTCCTTCACAACGACATCGCCCTGCGAAAAAAGCAGGAAAATATCGCAAATCTTGTGCAGTTCATCCACGAGTTGCATCGTATGTTGCTTGAAGATGGCCAGCACCAGGCGGTTGTACACGGCAATCAGCTTGGGGAGGACCCCCAGCTTAACAAAGAGGCGGCACGTGTCGTTTTTAGGAATCGTCTAGCGTATCCCATCGGTGATGTATACTTCAGCCAGCATTAATACATTTAATGCATATATATATATATATATATTGGACATTTCGCCCAAATTTGCCAATTTGGGGGGGTTGTTGAAATCACCAAGAAATCGAGCAAAGAAAGTTGATTGGATAAAAAGGATGAACTTTAGTTGAAGTATGATGGACTAAACGAATGAACATTCAACAAAGATACCCCTTATAAACTAATATATAAATCATATCTCGCAGGTCCGGCGATTGTAGGACGGTTCGTTCAACAGGAAATACAGAGCGCACAATACCTGAATGGAGAAGGTACAGCTGATTCCAGTGAGCGCAATGCGATGCAACGAGTCGTCGTCGGTGCTCAAGAAGTTGGTCAGCAACGGCAGTCCTCCGCACGCGATGAACATCTGGAGCGTCCACGAGCTAGAAACGCACGCCTGTTCGACAAACTTGGCTGCCTCCAATCGAACGAGGCTGGCCAACTCTGGCAAGGCCACCTTTCAACGAATGTTAATATATATATCTTATATCTTATATATATCTTATATCTTATATATATCTTATATCTTATATATATCTTATATCTTGTATATATATTTGAAAGTACCGTGGCGTTATCAGGCGGGGTGACGACCAACGCCACGACGATGGGTAGCAGGCCAACCAGCGCCAAGTTTTCAAGGAACTTTTGGTTGTCCATGATTAACTACGACTCACAGGACGTTAACAGTTAGCAAATATATATCGATCGTCGCACCATATTCACGACATTCATCACTGCATGCAGCACGTGGAGCTGTTTCAACTCGAACGCCTCCACGAGGATGGGGATGACTCCAGGCTGGGCCACCAATTCTTGCCGAAGGGCGGCGTTGTGTCCACAGAGGTCGTGCTAGCATCATCAACGGTTGCTGACATTGCATGCTTGGAAGTCAATATTCGAAATTGAAGTGTTTGGGTGCTCAATGAGCAGAATCACCAAATAATTCGGCAGGTAATCGATATACGACCAATCCAAACCCACAACACTCATCAAGTACCCAATCAAATCATCCACTCTTCGACCAATGCAACATCGAATTAGTGTGCGACTCAAATTAGTGTGACACTCGACGATCTTTACATACAAAAAGGATCGATCGATAGATTTGGCAAAGAATCAGCACAAACGTCAACCAAATTTGGGATAAATGGACTAACCAGTTGGTGACACGCGTCAAGAACCACACGATCGTCCATCGACGGGCCCAACAGCGACAAGAGCTCCATCCCCCGCGCCGTCGCTTTGTTGGCTGTCTCGCGCTGTGACGAATCGAAAACTACAAAGTCCTAAGTACTCGGGGGATATATAGATACACTCGACTGTCGCACAAGGATCACCAAACGATGGTTCGGCAAACCCGTCCAAGCCGTTGTCCTACGCCTCCAATCATGAGCATCTTTTGAACGGACAAAGCACCAACGACCGTACATCTTGCAGCGACGACGACAGCCGACACCTCCATGACGTGGCGCCCTTGGACGCATCTTCGTCTTCGAATCCATCTCCAAACCCATCGTCGTTGTCGGCTTCTCGGAAATGATGCAATTTCGACCCTTCTTTGTGGCCCACGCTCGTGTCGCCCCACGTCCCAACCGTATCATGTCGAGTCTTGGTCGTAGTAGTAGTACTAGTACTAAGTGTACTAGAAGCAGGAGGAACGTCCTCGTCGGCCCAAAATGGATCGTGCGCGTCGTCGTGGGTCAGTTGAAACGTCGGAAGCGTCGAGTGGGAGGTGGTGGCGGCCAGTTTCACGAGCTTCAGCGGCGCGTTCGTTTGCAGGTCCACATCCCAGCTCTCGTCGTCGTCCTCGTGCATGGCTTCCAAGCAACTGGAGGTCGAGTCCCTGGTGATGGTGTCGTACATGCGAATGGTGTTCAGCACGGCCGCGCGGTCGTCTGTAGACGTCACGTTGTCTTGGACTTCTTGGGTGCTCTACGTACTATCGTCAACACATACATCATGGCAACGAATACTACTAGTACTAGTACTACAGTACCTGTTCCACCTTGGTTCGAGGGATCTGGCTGATCCATGGATGTAGAAGCAAGTCGTCGGCGGAGAGGCGCAGCCGCGGCTCTTTCATGAAGCATTTCATGATGAAATCATGCAGCGCCTACCCGTCAATGTCCATAAACAAACGCCAACAACCCAGTTAAATGTACCGGCGAAATCGACTTTGGCAGCGGCGGGTGGTCGTCCTGCACGATGCGAAACAGCGCGGCCATGGGCGCCAAGTCGAAGTACGGCGGTTTCTGCGTCAGCAACTCAATGATGGTGCATCCCACGCTCCTACATCCATGTGAGGAAGACTCGGGCGTGGCGGGTACCATATGTCGGACGCGGACGACCACCCCGCCATCTCGATCACTTCGGGGGCCACTACGTGCTTGAACGATGATACTGACTCGTGGAAAAGAGTCACGACGTACTCCAATACGGAGATCCCACGACTGAATTCGACTTCTGCGCCTCGTTCAACTTGATCGCGACTCCAAAATCGGCAATCTTTACCAACCCGTCCTTGGTGGTCAAAATGTTGGCGCCTTTCACGTCGCGATGCAACACGCCCTAATGAGTCGTATTGCAAAACCATACTGGGTAGTAGGACGTTGTAGTTTACTTGGGCATGCAAGTAAGCCAAACCGCGCAACACTTGGGTGATGTACATGGCCACGAGCGTCTCGGAGAGCGTTCCGAACTTCTTCATGAACTGGGCCAGCGACCCATTCTCCATGTACTCCAGTACGATGTACAAGTAGTCTTCCTCCTTGATGGTGTTGTAGTACTTGACGATGTTTTCGTGGTGCAGCTTCTTGAGCAGCTTGATCTCGCTCTCGATGGCTGCGAGCTCTTCCTTGGCCATGTCGATCAGGGACACCTGCTTGATGGCAACCGACTTGCCATTTCGCAGGTCCAAAGCGCTGAACACTGTTCCGAACCCTCCTTTGCCTATCTCCAGGCCCAACTGGTAGTGGTTCCCCACGATGCGCTCCCTGCGCGACATTACAGTACTGCTCCGACTTTGCAAGCGGTCAAATTATTCTCGATTAAGATCTACCGATCCAGATGTATCACGTCCACATGTTAATTCGTTTCCATTTGGATTTACACTTGGTGTTTATATGCAATCTTAGTACAAGTTCATGATAGCGGGTCATTAAAATATTATCGTTTTGAACAACCAGTAACGTTAATATCATTATCCAATGGAGCAAATACTGTATATAATCCGCAGGTTCTCCTATCGAATAGCCTGTCAAATACTGTACCCAAACGCCAAGGAGGATACGAGGACGGAAACGAAGCTACAGTAGATATTATTGTCAAGTCGATTCGAAATTGTAGTGGGTCCAAATCGGCAGACAATCGATCGACCCAGATCACTATTCAAGTAGCCAATCAAATCACCAAAGCAACATCGAATTAGTGTGTGACTCAAATTAGTGTGACACTCGACGATTTTTACATACAAAAGTCAATACAAAGAATCGATCGATAGATTTGGCGAATCAGCACAAAAGCCCAAATTTTGGTTAAAAAGGCAATACAGTACCAACAACCAGTCCTGTACTACCGTACTCTGTATGGATTCGTCCAGGTGAGAGAATCTATCAATGAAACGTCAGCACTGTGGGTGTTATTCATATACATATTAATACTCTCCACAGGTATTAATCAATACTACTATATACTTCGTAGTACTTATTGGCTAGACCAAGGTGAGAGAATTTCTCATGCGCCAATGCAAATAAATCTCTATAAATAGACCCCGTTTTACTACGATCACATTCAAGCACGCATGGTGGCGCTTCACCCCGAAATCGAGAAGAGCGAGGTCGACGCCTTATGCGAGCTATTCTTGGCCCTTGGAGGTAACTATTGCAAATAGCAGTGTGCTGCGGGTACCTAATGTTGCGACTAGGAACTCGATGGACCAACAGCACTGGATGGACGAAGTTCGACAATGCCGAGGCACTAAGATCCGGGTACGGAATGGCTTGGTATGGGACAAAATGGAGCAAAGGGTGCGTCATTTCGATCGACTTGCGGGGCAACAATTTGCGAGGCACATTGCCTGACGTTTTTTCCAAAATGAACAAGTTGCAAGTCCTGAATCTTGGCAACAACCCTTTGGTTACTGGTTCGTGGTGTTGTTGAACCAAACTACTAGTATGTTTTGATTCGAACGAGTAGGACGAGTGCCCCATTCCTTGATGAAAGCGAAACACCTGCAGTACTGCTATTTGGATGGAACACAAGTGTTCGACATCGTTGCGTCGCATCATGCTTATGACTTCCACATTACAAAGTACATTTCAAGCTCCAAGGCATCTGTCCGCGTTCGCATTCGTATGAAGCTGCCTCGATGCTTTACCTGATCTAACGTTATCGTGATGACGTTAGGAAATTCGACCTGGATCGCAGATGTGACGGAACAAGAAATGTATCTCGTTTCAACGAGCTTGCAAGCCGCAAGGGCGCCCCCCAGGCCCAACGTCATCCAAAGGACTGCCCATAACGCAACTGGCCCTGAACGAGTTCACGCAGCAATGACTTTGCAGCGGATTTATCGAGAGTCCAGGGCACGCCGCAAAATTCTGAAGCTATCCGCGATGGTCAGCGAAGTCGTTCAAGACGTCGAGGTACGTGATACAGTAAAAGGAACTTAAAATACAATACCTATGATTTTGACTTTAGGATATCAAGTCAACACAAGCGATGAACAGAATTTCGATGTTGGGAGCTACGACATCACTGATTCATGCCGAACTGAAGCGCCGCTATGGAAGCGAATCCTCAACCCACGTCTGCTATCGTGGTTTGTTCGACGAGTACGACCAAGAACACACTGGGTTTGTGCATTCAAAGGACTTATTGTTGCTGTGTGGGGATTTGGGCATACCAATGTCACCTCAAAGGTTTGAGATCGCAATGAAAGAGATGAATACCCCTAGTCATGGCAAACTGAGCTTTGAAGAACTCTGTCATTGGCTTGACAAAATGGAAAAATAAATACTTGTTTGTGGAATTCGTAAGGTGACTTCGTAAATGCACAAATTCAATTATCAAGTTCCCAGAGTCTCAAAGAAATCGCGCCAGCATCAGCTTAATCGCGTTGTTTGGGCATACCTAGTATATATCTCTAGCAGTTTTTACAAGAGTACAGAAACTCTGCACACAAGAATTAGGGAATCCCAGGTAGAAAATGGGGAATCATATGAAACGGTAACGTTACAAATACAGTAGTCCCCCGCAATAGATAGGGAACCTTTGTTGTCGATATGGTTTTAGAGGTTTTCAATTTACATAAGTATAAAGTTAAAAAGGCATGTTTCATGGGTAGCTCGATTCTGATTGGACAAGATTTAACATATGGTATTGGAAAGTGCTCGGATTAAAAAATGGACATCATATTCGGAGAGGGTTGATACCCTGGCAACCTCCAGAAGACAAAACGCACACCAACAATGCGCACATTACATTCCTCAAAGGTTGTTCATACTCTCGATCAACTCATACATCTCTTCGTCCAGTATACCCGTATGACGCCAGCAGTTAGAGTTAGTAGAGGTCCAGTAGGCGAGGTTTGTTGGCTGATTTACGTGACGGATGCACGTCCATGTGGTCGCTCTGGGTGTTGAGCCAACGAGACATAGTCGCATAGTCGACTTTTGGGACACACGTGGCAGCCCAAACGCATGCTGAGCCCAAACTCGCAATTCAAGTCCTCTCATGCCAGGATGGACTTGTGGTGCGTCAATAGTGAGCGCTTTTGCTCGACAGTGAGTCTCATGCGTGTCGAGGGTGACGGCATTTTGACAACCAAGTGCATTTTCGCAACATGTGTCGCTTGAAATTTCAATCAGCCTCTTTAAATTTATTTTGCGAGGATATTGATTTGCTGTGGGTTCCACTATATAAGGTAATTTCGTCCTCCACAGACCTCGAGGCCTACCTGCCGCTTTCCCGACGAGAGGAATCGATTGGACTTTCGGTGAAGTGCACGATTGGGGCTCACTCCTCGCCAAGGCACCGCCTGCACAAAATTATACACACGACCTCCGCTGCGCTGCGGTGCGCGCAATTTTGTGGGCGGATGATCTGTCGTCTGCTGTAACGCTGGGTCAATTCCCTTGTGTTTTGATACACGTGTGTGTCAGCATCAATTTTGCCCTTTTTGCGCCGTTCCCGCTGTCGCTGCATTTCAAGTTGCACTTCGAGTTTGCACTTCCCTGTTCAATCGAGGAGTTCGAGCGCTGGCTGCGAAGCCAGTATGGTAAATTCAAGAGTAATCTATTGGTTGTTATCTACTACCTCCAGACGGAAATAGACCGACCATTCGACAAAAATTGATGCAATTTCTGTACATTTTAAAATATGGAAATTCTGAAATTTGGTGCGAAAAGAGCAGAATCTATTGTATCCGATTGGCTCGAATCTGCAAAAAAAAACGTTGATTTGAGTGGAGCAAATTTAATTGAAGAAGTCAATACTCAAATCAAGATAAAATGATACGGATACAAACAAATTTATCCGAAATACAGAATGTTGGTATCTTTTGAGCGCCAAAACATGGCGCGCAGCCTCATTTGGAATGAAAGAACTTACGTCCGATCAACGCCGTGCTGTCGTCGACCACCTACTCCTCCGTGTAGTTGAAGCTCCATGCAAGCTTCACCACGGAGCAATCAAGGAGGTGGCCCAAATCTTTGGTCGCAATCGACACACCATCGCCGAGATCTGGAAGCGTGCGAACGTTTCCATCAGTGCGGAAGGCCAAACTTCGATTGTCTGTCACGACGTCGCCTCTCAGAAGAAAGGGATCGTAGGCCGTAAACAGAAATACACGGACCTGCCAGCTCGAATCCGCGCTGTACCACCACAACGGCGAACAACTCTCCAGCGCATCGCCCACGCGATCGGGATACCAGCGAGCACACTCAGAGACT